ACTTTTTGATATATGGACACTGGTAACCAAGTTTCAGGAAAGACTTAGACACCAATATGGATGACACTTGTTTTCTGTAAGACAGGAACTGCAAACACAGGAGTTGCAGCCCAGCAGCCCCACAATGTAGCATAAATATCTGCACATAGATGTTATATATTTTTTCAGGCAGAGCACCATTTCTTCTGACATTTGTAGTGTTTGTGACCAATAAATTATTCAATCCAATAATTCTTAACTATCTCCTAAAGTTTAAAATATGCTACCTACTATGATTCCTAAAAGATGAACGATGAGAGAGTAACAGATGATTCTGTTTTTAAGTAACTTTCTCTCTCTCTCTCTCTCTCTAACACACGCACACACACACCATGAAACACTCAAGTTTAATGATGTTTCTTACAACTGTTTTCTGGCATATTTTTTATGAATTTTCTCTTCAAGCCAAAGCCATAAACCTAGCATTTACAGAAAATTGATAGTTGAGCCGAATATGCTAAACCAGGTAATGAAATAACACACGGAGGGAGGGGGACTTCACTTTCCCTTTAATTTCTAAATATAAGTTCAGAGCAGCAAAGTGACCACAGCCATTTCAACATTATGTAATATTAACGCACAAAAGGTACTTTTATGTAACATTCATAGGATAGAAATCTACGGAAGTGGAAAATTTCAAAGCTGGCATTCTATCTATAGCTTGTTGCACAGCGCTTCTTCCTGCAGCACATATGGCACAAACTAGTGAAGAGGAATCTGCAAAGATTTCAAGTTAGATGATCAAAAGAGTGTTTGTGCTTCTCTCTCTCTCCAGCTCAGAGTACTGTGATTTTGGTGAAGCTTTAGCTGATGATGATATAAAAATGGAAGTCAAAGCGGAGAATTGAACCTTGGTCTCTAGAGTCACAGTCCAATACTCAAACCACTACACCATGTTGGTACACCATACTAAGTAATACTTAGTAACATATTTGAACACACTTTAGTTATACGATTTTGCCATCCCTCATGCCACAATATACAAAATAGTTCCATGTTTTAGCCTGAATCAAGGTCAGAACTTGTACATCTGAATTTTGCCTGCCAAAGGTAACAATCTGAATTTAAGCCAGATTCTTGTGTTTACTTTTGAGTTAATGAAGGGCAATGATAACCAGAGGTATAGTGGAACCAGAGCTCATGGGGTTGAAGCACCAGGATTTTTTCATTAGCAGAAAAAATGTCATAGGCTTCCACCATCATCCCTCATGTTTACATGTCCCCTCAGATGTGGCTGGCAATAACCTCTGAAAGACAGATCAGTTCCTCCTCAGTTATCACACTAGGACTGGGTGAGGCCTGACCTAAGTTTTCCTCTTCCTTCTGAACTAAATGATGGATAACTGATGATTCATTATGAACCAACCTGAGGTTGAAACAATAGTCCAACCAGTCCTGGATTTGTCCTGAAAGATATTTTCCCTAATAGCTTACAGAAGAAAGTTCATACTGCGCTATGCCAGCTGCTCTTGAAAAGCCATCAAATCAAATTGTAGCTTTTGGATATGTGATGAAAATATTTCAAATCTATGAAACAGTTCATTTGATTAAAAAAAATGATTTGCATTTTTGCACAAGGGGCCAAATATAAAGGCTCAGTAGTATTCGTCAGTGGATTACCTTTTATGGGGGGGGGAGGGAATTTGAGATTGGCTTTGAAAAGTTTTTCCTCCAAAAATAAAAAAATAAAAAAATGCCCAAGTCAGAGTACCTGTAATAGTGCTAGAAAGTACTCCTCTCTGAAATCAACATGGCACATTTACATATAGTCCTAATGCATGGTAATGTATGTAATATAACTCAGTCAAAGGATGAATGAGATAAAGCCATTTCCTTGGCTCTGGACTGCTCTGATGAGGGTGTTATTATCACACAAATTAGTATGACTTGAATGTCTCCTTTTAAATGTATTAGGATAACAATAAAGACAGTTCACCCTAATGTGACCTCCTTCTTCCATAACATTTAACACAGTCAAATTAAAAGTGCAAATCTGTTACCACTGCCTATAAAAATAATGTACCTCATATTATTTTAAGACTCTATTTATTTTTGCAAAGAATGGAACAGGAACGACTGTAAAACCTATTTCCTTTCAACTGCAAAAAAGTAATTTACAGTCTTTGAACACAGATAGATGCCATATTGTTATGTATAAGGTTTGTTGACTTTTAATAAACAGCCTAATTAAGAATGCATAGTTTTAATATATCTGCCTCACTTCAGTTCAAGCAGCAGGCCATTTAGTGCCTTCTTCACTGTGACTTTAAATTTAAATTTAGTCCTACTTTGTTTGCAACTGTTATAAAGATTTTGCTACTGTTCCCCCCCACACACGGGGGGGGGGGATGGATGAAGTAGAAGATATTAATTTCTGTATTAAAATTCTTTGTTAAACATGAAAATGTCACACTAGGGCATGCCCCAGCAGCCAAACACTCAGAAGAGTCACCTTCCATATGCCAAATAAGATCTGACCCCTGCCTACCACTGACACCACCAGATGGAGGGAGAACTCTATTTTTCTGGCATTTTGACATTTTAATTTCTCACCCACAGGAGGGGGTGAGGGAGCCAGCAGATCTTGAAAGAGATGACATCTAGAGAGTGCTTGTGGTCTCAGTACTGGGGGGTAGGGGCAGCATGCAGTGGATAACCCCAGGGAGTGGAAAAATCTCTTAATACTTGGAATCAATGGGCCAGACTCTAAAGGGATGAGCGGAGCTCTAGAAACTTTTCCAGCCAAGAACAAGTCTGTGTTGACTTCTAATAAGCGCTAGAAGGATATGCTAGAACATGCTTAGTACAGTAAGACCTTTTCTTCAGCATGCAAACAAGTTGCCGGGTTAGTCTTCTAGTCCTATTGGAAATCAAATCAGGGCTTCTTATTTTGAAGGATTTGATGGATTTCTAGAGACATGTCTATTATCTTTTGACCAAGAGATGGCCATTGTTGTCTTATAGCAGTAATAATAACACAACTGCTGTGACTATTACTGTAAATTAGTTAATGTGTACTTATGGAAAGGAAATGAGACTGCTACCTGGTCTTCTGCTCAGGGGCAAATTATTATATATAGATTATGGGTTCAGAATGCACATGCACAGAACCTTATACAGAATTGTGTATGTGAGAGAGGGGGGGAGGGAGAGAGAGAGTAAAGGTGAGACAAGCCACCAAGAATCATCTCCATCCCACACATTTCTGCCCACATTGTCCATCTGTACCAACCTTCCTCAGCTTGGTACTCCCCCAGTGTGTTAAATTACAACTTTTATCATCTTCAGCCATTGTTGCCCAATCCAGAAGTAGCTGAACAAAGACAAAAATCTTCATCATCCCAGGACTAACTCTGAATTATTGACCCTCATCCATCTGATTACTGATTTGAGAAATTAGTGAAGCTCTTCCATGTCTACAGTTATTTTTCTACTGAGAAAGAGACAACAATGTCTCCCAGGTCAACCTCTCCCAGCAGTTTCATGTAAACGTTAGAAAGCATGAACAACACTACAGGGGACCTTCTGGAACTCCCACTCCAGATAGCAATGGAATTACCACTGTCATGGAATCAAACTGTATCAACCTGTATAAGCCGTACAGCCTACCCAGCAGTATCCCATGAAAAAATCCAAAAAGAAAAAAGATAAAGTGACTTATCAGGCAACATTTCTGAAGTCCTTCTGGCATATGTAATTCATTGGGTCAACCAAGGCTGCACCTACATTGCACAATTAATGGTGTTTGATACCATTTGTCATGCCTCAATACAATAGAATTTTGGGATTTATAGTTTTGTGAGATATTTAGGCTTCTCTGTGAGAGAGCTCTGGTACCATAACAAACTACAAATCCCAGGATTCTATAGGATGGAGGTAAAAGCTAAAGGTATTCTCCTTTGACAAGGTTGTCAAGTCGTGTCCAACCATGCTCATATCCATTACTAAGCCGAAGAGCCAGAGTTGTCAGAGATTACTCTGTGATCATGTGGTTAGCATGATTGCACAGAATGCTGTTTATCTTCCCACTGAGAAGTGGGACCTATTTATCTGTTTGCATTTGCATGCTTTTGAACTGCTAGGTTGGCAGAAGCTGGGACTAGTGACAGGGGCTCACCTCCATCATGCAGCACCTGGGCCTCAAACTGCCAACCTGCCAATCTTGCAATCAACAGAGTCAGTGTCAAACTCCATTAATTCTGCAGTGTGGCAGCAGACCAAGACAACTTCTGTCCCACAATAAGGTCTTAAATGAGAGTAAAATAGTTTTAAATTATCTGTCTCACTCCAAAATACCTGGAGTTGTGCAGCCACTATTCATTTGAGTCATTTATTATCCAAGTGATCTGAAAAACCAGCTTATAATTCTTGTAAGCCTTGGCTCTAGGCAAGGTTTCTTTAGCAGCAGTCACAACCACCCTTTTCTAAGTGGCTGAGGCCACCTTAATTCATACAGAGTCACAAATCACCTCTGGGATCCAACTTTGATTGTTGATTAATTAATTTTCCCATTTAGAGCAGTGTTGTGAAAGCGAATATTTTAAAGGCAAAAGTCCTAAACATCAAGGTAGAAAGGTTAATGAAAGTCACAGTGCAAAAGTTTCCAAAACATTTGAGGAGAGGGTACTGAAAACTACAATAATGCAACATATAGGCCATAATATGGAAAGGTCACCACTGTCACTAATGAGCAGAGTCAAGGAAGTATCAGACATAAGTAACAATCATTCATAAAATGAGAGTTTGGCTCAAAAAATAGAAAAGAGGCACTCAACCAAAAATGTGAACAATTGATACATCATGCCCACTCTCCTCCCCCAAGATAATTTCAGGAGCATAATGCTAAAAATAGTGAGATCAATAATAACAAAATATAAATGTATGAGAGGAAGTAAAGTGGCTAGGAAGGTAGCTGGACTATAAACCTAAAAGATTATTGATAATGTGCAAAAGCAGGATAAGAGCCTGTGCTGTGTAGTGGTTTTGAGTGTTGGACTATAACTCTAAGAGACCAGGGTTCAAATCCCTGCTTGGTTCAAATCCATGGAAATCCACTGGGTGAGCTTGGGTAAGTCACACTCTTTCAGCTTCAGAGGAAGGTAAGAGCAAACCCAATCTCAACAAATCATGCCAAGAAAACCCAATGATATGATCCCATAAATCAGAAACCACTTGAAAACACACAACAAAATCATAGAAAAAAATGATGAATTTTTTGAGTTCATCTTTACTGTGGAATATGTAGGACTGATGTTTTCAGGAGAACAGTATGAGGAACTGAAAGATATAGTAAAGGAAATACTTGGTTTATCAACAATTAAAAACTAAGAAATTTCATAGTCTGGATTATACCCATACAAAAGTTCTTAAACAAGTCATACATAAAATTGCTAGCCTTCTAACTAAAGATTTGATATGATTTGATTTATATCCCACCTTTGTCCCAGCATAGGATTCAAGGAGGGTGTCCCAAAGATTAACTTGTCTTAAAGTTTAAGGGGCTCTATAGATTGCCCGAAAGGGGCAGCTCCATGCTGCCCCGGGAGTGCTAGATTGGGGCCCTGACAACTGCACACTGCAGCCCTGATCCACTTTGCCATTCTAAAAAGAGCTGGCAAATGCCGCTCCTTTTGAGAGCAGCAAAAAGCCGCCCTTGCTGCCATGGCGGCAGCTTTTCTGAGCTCTTTTGGTGCAGCGCCCTGATACTGCTCACCATTTGTTTGAGTGGGTGGTAAGATGATGGTATGGGGCAGAGTCAAGTGGCCAGCATGCAGCCGCCACATTCCCATTCCACACCCAGGCTGGTCCTTGTGGCCGGTCTGTACAGCCCCTAATTTCTTTATCAGAAGATTAGAAAGCACCCAAGGGAATGGCAATTACATTGGGAAATCAAAAAAATATACAAATCTGTTGTACAACTTGGCACGTAAATACCCTAAAAGGCAATAGATGCTGTCTCATCTTGGAAGCTAAGCAGGGTCAGCCCTGATTAATAATTGAATGAGAGACCACCAATGAATACCAGGTGCTGTAGGTTACATTTCTGAGGAAGGAACTGTTAAAACCACCTCTGAATCTTCCTTGCCTAAGAAATCCTTACAAAATTCATTGGGTCACCAGAAGTTGACAGGTGACTTGAAGGCACACACACATACATTGTACAGCTATATTTGTAACACTATATACAGGTCTGGGTACTGTATTTCAAAAGGCTATCACAGAATTGGAAAGAAGCAATAATGTTGACGAATAGACCAACTGACAAAATCCATCCCAAATCTCCCCCTTATACTCTCAACCTTAAGCCAAAGTTAACCACATGGACAAAGGGGAGGAGCCAGCCTGCAGATAGCCATCTCCTAACATTTGAACTGAGATCAGAAACAGAAAATGCAGGCCTAAGACTAACATTTTCAAATTTTTCCTCCTGTTTGCCTGATGAAGAAGCCAGTGTGACTTTGAAAGGTTACAACATGCAATTGTGTATTTGGTTGTCCCAATAAAGGTATCATTGTTTGGATGTTACTGGATTTGCTATATGGCCAACATGGCTACCCCTAGATTTTTTCTGAGCCAAAGGTTCTCAATATAGAATTTTTTACTCAGTTTTACAAGCCACCCCATATCTGGACTAAGCAGACTGAAAATTAAGCATAGCCCTGTGCCAGCAAGTTTTCCTTCCTCCTTCCAGTCCTACATACAAAGGGAACTTGTAGCAACTTTGAAGCTAACTGTAGACATTGTAGCATATGTTTTCACAGAGTTGGTCCACTCCTAGTTAGCCACCATTGCTCCTTCCAAAGGTCAAGCAAGTCAACCTTCCTTCCCAAAGGTGGTATGGGGCTGCCATCTTTGCTGAAAAATGGGAGAGGGGACTGGTACATGTGGTGCAACAGCATATAAAATCCTCTCTGGCTTTACACAGTTCCATGTTCATTAAAAAAAAAACATTGTCCATAGTACCCAGTGTGCATTCACACACACTGAACAAAATCAGTGCAATTTTATTTCTTTTCTAATAACAATTGGACAAAGGAAAATCCACCTGTGGAATAAATGTGGCTTCCTCCCTGCTACCCCGTACCCAGATGTGTCCCCCAACTAGCTGCACTGGTTATTTTTCCACCAATCAGCATATGGAAATAGACACAGGGGAGTAGATAGTGTTTACACTGTGCTGGTTCTGAGCCATTCAGTGTTTAATAGGTCACTACTGCATCATTAATTGTGTCCGTATTTTGGAATATGGTTGCAAAGGGCCCCTAGGAATCATCTAACCTTCTTAGAAAGGCAGAAGGTGTCACGTTCTACACTGGCTGAATCTTTCAAATTATTTTCAAAGACTTCCTCACACAGAGTGTAAAACTGCCAAGTTTTTGTATAAGCAAGTACAGCATCTACAGACCATTAGATCAAGATTTGTTTTATAAGGAAAAGAACTTTGAGATTTGCTTGCCTGATGAGAAACCATCTCCCTGAATTCAACAGAGATTTAGTAGATTTTTAAAAATGTGAATTACACCCATTTTTGATGTGTGAAACAGAAGGGTTTGTTTGAACAGGATTTCATGGGAACTAAATTGACTTAAAGCAATTTTGGAGAATGTTCAGGAAGGAAAAACGGTCAGCCTTGTAAAATCAGTGCCAGCAGATGGATGTTTGGCACACACCAATTGGGCAATTACATGCCTTGATACCCATTTACACATGCTATTACCTAATTTGGACTTTTGGGGACTGGCCCTGTAGAGTACAATTGCCGAACCTTAACAAGAGCCTGGAATGACGCAAATGGGCAGAACATCAGGTCTTATATAAGTCCTATGCACACATAAAGTATATATGAAATATATTTCAAGCATAATGACACATGTTTAAGAGCACGGACGGTTGCCTCTTGAAGACACTGAGAGAGATTACAGCCACACTATAGTCATTTCCAGTATCACTTGAAAGTGTGAAATCCTTCTATTAAAACAGCACTCTTGTCTGGCTAATGGCTTTTGAAATGATGGAATATGTTTGGCTTTTCAAGAAAAGCTAAGTTTAGAAAAAATATTGCCCTGCTTCTATGGTTCTTTAAAAAAAGAAACACTGGTCACATTTCTGTTCTCCAAATCTATGATTGGCCCCACCTGTGAAATATGTGTAATACTCTGATAATTTTAGATCACTTTTCATTGCCAGATGCCAGGTTCCCTGTCATTGTTTTCATACCAAAACACTTTGGATAAATATGAAAGGCCCCCCAATTTTTAAATCATTGTGTACTTTACATGCTCTGAACCACAACTGCTTCCAAATTCAAGGGCATATAAAAATTTGAAGAGCTTCAATTATTTTAAATCACCATGTGCAGTGTTAGAGAGTGATTTAAAATTGTTGTCATGCCTCACATTTTTTTAAGCACTTCAGTTTGGAAGGGACTCAAGCAGTGGCCTAGCACTGGAGCTTAAGACATATTGGTCTTTGAATTTAACAAAATAACTCATCTCCCAAATGAAAATAGAAAGCAAGGAGGGGTTATTGGTTAAGAAAAGTACCATTCTTTTTTTAAAAAAAAATATTAAAAATACACATAGAGCAAAATTTTAATATAACGCACATAAGGGGAATATAGACGGGCAGCCCTGGGCTGCCCTGGGAAGCAGAGGATCGGGGCCACTGCTACCACATGCAGTGGCCCCGATTCTCCCGTTTTCTTCTGCGTCCCTTCCAGTGCAACACATCAGAATGTCCTCGGGGAGGGTTGGGGTGGCCAGTGTGCACTGCCCCTCCACTCCCCTGCCTCCAAAAAGGCGCAAAGGACCATCTGTAGAGCACCAAAGACATATAAAATAAGATGCAATAAAACAAAATTCAAAAACACTACAAACTATATTACTACAACATATACCTGGTTATTGTTGTTCTTGTTATTTTTAAAAAGACATTGTTACAAAAAGCCCAAAGGGCTTGTGTGCATCAGTAGTCATGATTCATACACACTATTTTGACTTGTCCTCCATCGTATAATGGCAAGTGTTTGTATGTGTCTTCAAGTTGCCTGTCGACTTATTACAGCCCCTTGAATTTCATAGTGCATTCTTAGGCTAGGACTACTCAGAGGTGGGTTTGACAGTTCCTTCCTCTAAAATATAGCCTACAGCACCTGGTATTTGTTGGCAGTCTCCCATCCAAGTACTAACCAGATTTGATCTTGCTTGGCTCCCAAGATCAGATGGGGTCGGGTGCCTTTAGGGCAGTGATGGCGAATCTTTTAGGCACAGAGTGCCCAAACTAAATGGCCTTCTGATACTGCTGGAGACAGGACTTCTGGGGTGGGACTTCTCCCCCCCCCCCCGCTGCACCTTCTTGGGAGGCTGCTGAAGGCCCAGGAGGAGGAAGAAAAGGTGCACAACTTTTGCACCTTTTCCTCCTCTTCCCCATTCCACGGGCCAGGGAAAATGGTTTTGCATGCAATCTCTGGCATGTGTGCCATAGGTTTGCCAACATGGTTTTAGGCTATTCAGGCCAGTATAGTGGAAGTATAGCAAGCCAGCATAGTGTAGTGGTTTGAGGGTTGGACTTTGACTCTAGAGAGCAGGGTTAGAATCCCTGGTCAGCCAAGAAAAGCTACTGGGTTATCTTGAGCTATTCACAATCTCTCAGCCTCAGAGGATGGCAATGGCAAATTCCCTCTGAAGAAACCTGCCAAAAAAACCTTTAGTCACCATAAGTCGGAAATGACTTGAAGGCAAACCGCACACAGAGTGGCCTAGACTACAAAGTTTGCATTCTAAGTGACCTCCTATTTCCTTCACCAGCTATTTCCATTTCAAGATGGATGGTAGCAAATGAATAGGTCGAGCCCTTTGTCTCCCCCTTTAATAAGAGTTATAGTATCTAGCACTTAAATTCTACAGAACTAAAACTTAAAGGAAAAAAATAAAAATTCAGAGAGGAGTCTATTTCAAAATATAGTATAATATTTCAACCTCAGCAAACCACACCTCTTGGTTTTTGTTTTGTTTTTGTTTGTTTTTTAAAAAAAAAAAG